GGAGCTCCAGATCTTCTCGTCAGGACAGCCTGTGCAGAACCTGCTCCTGGATAGCCACAGAGTGAGTGGGCATGGGAGGAGTCTAGGCAGCGTGCTTGGGAGTGGCCCTCCATAATTACCAGGTAGTCCCCACCCAGTTTTTCCTCCCCTACACCAGCGAATGAAAAGTTATGAAATCCAGGCTCATGGCACAGGTGATCAGAAAGTGGAGGGTGCCACTTTCTGATAGAGGCCTCTTGGGTGGAGCGCTAGTGGGCATGTGAACCAAGTGTGGTCATGGGTGGCGGCCCTGGCTGTCCATGCCTGCCTCTCATCCCCAGTGTCTGGCTGTGCAGGGGCTTCTGTATGCTGCCTCCCACTCGGGTGTAGTCCAGGTGCCTGTGGCCAACTGTAGCCTATACCGGAGCTGTGGGGACTGCCTCCTTGCCCGAGACCCCTACTGCGCTTGGAGTGGCTCCAACTGCAGACATATCAGCCTCTACAATCCTGAGCTGGACTTCAGGTAAGAGCTCCTTGGGGCCTCCCACCCTCGCACCCCTGCCTGTGTATCCAGCCTTAGAGCTCTTCCTCAGGTCTCTCTAGGATCATCACCTGGTCTCATTTGCACTGTCTTAATTCTGCTTAATTATCCTGAGCTCCCTGCTTCCTCTCAGCTGTTTTGTAGTTCAGATAGTGTGTTTACCTTACCTGCCTGAAAAGGAGTGACACAATTTGGTAGAGTGTGCAATGTCACAGCTATGAAAAACCTTGCGGGAGAATATGGATTGGCATGTGAATACGTTTTAGGAACAGTAAGGGCTACAAAACAGTCTATTAAACCAGTAAAGAGTGGTTCAGAATAACATTTGGATTATAAAATGTTCCTGTAGAAAACAGGGATAAACACAAACAAAATAAAAACTACCCCTAATCCTACCACCTAAAGAGAATCTGAGTAGGATTCTGATTTACTATTCTTCCAGATGTTTTTACATATGTAGTAAATAAACAATATAAATGTTAAATAACCATGGAATCTGTCATATTTGTAGTGTTCTTTTTGTTTGGGCCCAGGAAAAAGAATATACAAATTTATTACACACTTAAGGCATGGGAGTATCAGATTCCCCATTTATAGCATTCTCTCTTCTCAAGCATATATCTGGTGACAGTTTTTTTTAAAAATATTTTTTTAGTTTTAGGTGGACACAATATTTTTATTTTTATGTGGTGCTGAGGATCGAACTCAGTGCCTTATGTGTGCTAAGCAAGCACTCTACCACTTGAGCCACAACCCCAACCCTGGTGACAGTTTTTATTTCAAAAAACCAAATAGGCTGGGTGCAGTGGTGCACACCTGTAATCCCAGCAACTTGGGAGGCTAAGGTGGGAGGATCACAAGTCCAAAGCAGCCTCAGCAACTTAGTGAGACTGCCTCAAAATAAAAAAGAAAAAGGGCTGGGGATGTGGCTCAGTGGTTAAGTGCCCCTGGGTTCAATCCCTAGTACCAAAAAAATAGGAGTTTATGAACGTACACCTGGAAGGACATGCTGTCATGATCAATGGATGGCAGATTACATGAGATTTTTGTTTTATTTTTATCTTTTTGTTTGGTTGAGCTTTCCATTTTGAGTGCAGAATTATTTTTCTTTTTATTATTCTTTATGAAGTAAATCAATGCATGTGGATTAGTCTGAGACATATTTACATATAGGTCCAGCTGTCATTTGAGACTGTTTTTGAGAGCACATTCTGCTTTTATAACTAAGGGAAACAGTATGTCACTTTTATCTGCAATGATGTGTAAATAGAAGGTGCTCATTCAAGCCATGTAGGGTTGGGGAATGAGCTCAGGGAAGTCTCTTACCCTCTGCTTTGGGCTTGGTGTTCCCTGAGAACCAGGTCCCCTGGCCAGGCTCAGGTATGCATTGAGGGGTGAGGGAACACAGGCTCATGGGGCTATCCCAGACTTTTTCTGGTCCTCAGGCCATGGATCCAGGACATCGAGGGGGCCAATGCCAAGGAGCTCTGCAACACTTCCTCAGCTAGGCCCCGGTCTTTTGTACCACCAGGTAAGGTACACCCTCAGAGGCTGGAGGAGGGGGGTGGGACCAAGGCTGCTTAGAAGACCTGTCTGAACATTGATAGGTGTAAATGCCTTTCCTCGTATCCTCATCTTTTCAACTGGCAAGTGAGACCCTAGAAAATGAGACTCAGTCTCAGGAGTTCCCAGAGTTGCCCATCCTGGCACCAGGAGTATAGCTGGGAAGGAGGGTGTGAAGCTGGAGCGACTGTGGACACCAGCCCCCAAGTACCTGATGCCTCTTCTGTCCACAGCCAAGAAGCCCTGTGAACAAGTTCAATTCCAGCCCAACACAGTGAACACCTTGGCCTGCCCACTCCTCTCCAACCTGGCCACACGGCTCTGGCTGCACAATGGAGCCACTGTCAATGCCTCTGCCTCCTGCCGTGTGTTGCCCACGGGGGACTTGCTCTTGGTGGGCAGCCAGCAGGAGCTCGGAGTGTTCCAGTGCTGGTCACTGGAGGAAGGCTTCCAGCAGTTAGTGGCCAGCTACTGCCCAGAGGTGGTGGAGAATGGGGTGGTAGAACGAACAGACCGGGGGGGCAGTGTGCCTGTCGTTATCAACACGTCGCGAGTGAGCGCACCAGCTGGTGGCAAGTCCACCTGGGGTGCAGACAAGTCCTACTGGAATGAGTTCCTGGTGATGTGCGCACTGTTCGGGCTCGCTGTGGTACTTCTGATTTTATTCTTCCTCTATCGGCACCGGGATGGCATGAAAGTTTTCCTGAAACAGGGGGAGCGTGCCAGTGTGCACCCCAAGACTCGACCTGTGGTGCTGCCACCTGAGAACCGACCACTCAATGGCGTAGGTCCTCCTAGCACTCCACTGGACCACCGAGGGTACCAGGCCTTGTCAGATAGCTCCCCAGGGCCTCGGGTCTTCACTGAGTCAGAGAAGAGACCACTCAGCATCCAGGACAGCTTCGTGGAGGTGTCCCCTGTGTGCCCTCGGCCCCGGGTCCGCCTGGGCTCTGAGATCCGGGACTCTGTGGTATGACGGCTGACTTCTAGATGAGGCTGCCCTGGCTTCAGAGGCTGTGAATGCTCAGAAGGGGGTCACTAGGCCTCCATTTCTCATGGAACCCAACCAGGGTTCCTTGCCCTTGGGAGCCTTGGAGTTAGCTGGCCTGCTGCTCTTCAACCAAGTCTTACAGCCCGGCAAGCTGTAAGAGGGCTGCCCTCCAGGGCCCAGTGGGGCCTGCCTAGCTGGGCAGAACAGTGCTCCTAAGTAAACTGAGCCTTTGGTTTAAAAAGACAACTGAAAATGTGAATCCAGATGGGAAAGAGAGAGAACATGGACATGCCATGCCACAGACACATGGTTCCTACCTTCACGGTCTCCCAGACTCTTGGGACTTTTATTCGAAGTGGTTGTGTGAGACAGAGTTGGAAATCCCTGCCCAGTTGGTATCCTCTACCTTCTGCCTTATCCTACTGCCACAGGCTTCCCTTCTCCCTGCAGAGGTAGGGGCCAGCTTGGGCTCTGAGGGTCCTTGAATTGCCTGATTGAGGATACAGCTGTGCCGCCATTACCCCACCACTCAGGGACCAGAGGGCCAGGCTGGCTCTGCAGCCCTCCTTAGGCCCTGGGCTCAGACCCAGCTCCTGGGCCTTCTTGCCCATGTCAGGCTGTAGCCACGTGAGAGAAGGAGCATGAGCCTGGGAAAGATTGTGACAATGTACACATTTCCATTGGAATTCAAGGAAGGAAGAGACCGTTGCCTGCCTTCATCCCAGTCAGAGAGACAACTCTTGTGTCCCTTTCACCATCTCAGCCCCATTTTTGAACTTAAGCACAGGGTGGAATTGACTGTATCCCAGCTTCTTCCCATCCCAGTTGACCTTCACACCCTGCCTGACTCCACACTAAGGGATACCCATACTGACACTGCCCAGCACAGGGCCTTGAATTTACATGGGTTTTATAAATTTTTTTTTTAATAAGATGCACTTTACTTTTTTTTGTAATAAAATTTGAAAAATAATTGTTTAATCATGGCTCTCTTAAAGGACTTTTGCTTTTTGAAGTTGGTCTGTTTCTGGGGGTTCTGAGCTTTTTTTTCCCCAAGGGTTAGTGAACCACAGCCAGCCTGGAGTGGAATATGGCACTTACCTAAGGGATTTTAGTTTGCAGGAGTCACTCTGTCCATCAGTTCAGTGTATCAAGGGATGGGCCTACTTTCCTTAAATGCCTTACAATTTTGGCAGGGTTGGGGGGTACCAGAGATTGAACTCAGGGGTGCTAGGTATTGAACCCAGGGACTGAAACCAGGGATTGTCCACTGAGCCACATCCCTAACCCTATTTTGTATTTTATTTAGAGACAGGGTCTCACTGAGTTGCTTAGGGCCTTGCTAAATTGCTGAGGCTGGCTTTGAACTCACAATCCTCCTCTCTCAGCCTCCTGAGTTGCTGGGATTATAGGAGTGCACCATCATGCCCAGCCTTTTACAATTTTTAATTTCACAAATGATAATTTGGTAAAACTAACCTTTCTTTTAGTATACAGTTCTTCAAATTTTAACACATTCCAAAATTCATGTAACTACCACCACAGCCAAAATTCTGGAGAGTTCCACCCCTCACTGCTATCTCCTTATACTCATACCTTCATTCAGGGGTGGGAGGGATTTGATTTCTCATTGATCCAACCTTTCTTTTTCTATATCTCTTTCTTTCTTACTGTACTGGGGATTGAACCCAGGGGTGCTTTACCACTCCCAGCCCTTTTAATTTTTTATTTTGAGGCAGGGTCTCAGTAAGTTGCTCAGAGCCTTGCTAAATTGCTGAGGCTGTGATCCTCCTGTCTCAGCCTCCCAAGACTCTGGGATTAGAGGCATGTGCCACATGCCTTGCTGGCCCCATTTTTAGATGTGACTTATTACTAGTATGATCAAAAGTTTCGTCCTTCCTTATACCAGTGTTTCTAGTGCCACACTTAGGATCAAAACTTCTAAACCTTTATTATTGATTAGTAGAAACAGAGTGATGACAATGGCAGGGAAAAGCAGGTGGGGTCCTCTCCTGCCCGGGACCAGACTGCGCGGTGCCGGCTCCAGGCTGGGCCTGCTTGGCCGGCCCTGACAACGCAGGCGTAACCTTGGCCACAGCTCAGCAGTGGAAAGGTCTTGGACAGGGTGCTGGGACACATGCTGGGGCTGCTGTCACAGGACAATCTTAAAGGAACTGCACAGAAAAGAGTGAGTTGGGTTTTCTTTTTCTTTTTTTCCCCAGTGCTAAGGTTGGAACCCAGAGCCTCATGCATGCTAGGAATATGCTTTGCCACTGAGCTACACCCCCAGCCCAAGTGGGGTTTTCTGATGGAAGAGGAGGGTAGGGACTGAATCCAAACCTAGCCGCCCCTCCCCCTAAGACCTTCTTTGGAATGGTTTGTGTCCCTTGTGAGTCTGTCCCTTCTCCTTTGGAAGAAGAGTGACCTGAGACCTGGTCCCCAGAATGCAGAGCAACCACTACCAAATACCTGGCAAAGTCAGGTGAACGGGAGATGACATGCTGGAACTCAGAGAGATTGATGGTCCCATCCCTATCAATGTCTGACTCTTCCAGGATCTGGGAAAGGGAGAGCTTTAAGCCAGAGCCCCAACTCTTGCCTCCTGCTCCCAAGCCCAGCTAGATCAGGCCTGATCTGGCCACTCACATTATCAATGAGCTGCTTCATCTCTGAAGCACTGAGTCGAGTGTCCTCGCCCTCTCCCGTAAGACAGTTCACAAGCTGACTCAGGTCTTCTCTGTCCAGAGTTCCATCATCATCAAAGTCTAGAGAGCAGACATAGGAGGGCATGGTCAGGAGGAGCACCACAAAATGCACAAATGCCACCCACTTCCCAAACAGCCCCACCATGAAGCCCATGTTGGAATAGGTGGTGTTCTACCAGTTCTTTCTGGTCCTTACCGAAAATGCGAAAGGCATAGTGGGACTTGATGTCTGGGGTTGCTGTGTCACTAAATACACTCAGGAGGTCCAGGAAGTCCTCAAAGCTTAGGCTATCCCTGGTGGGGGATGTAGAGAAGACCCTGCAGATTCGTTCCTTGAAGGGATTGGCCTAAGTAAGAGAGCCTTTGGTGAATGCTTTGGGAAGTAGCCCCAGGTCACATGCTCATTAGACCCTATCAGAAACTTGATGGAGTGGGTCACAGTACCAGCACCATGGAGCTCAGATTTATGGGGAAGAAGCTCTGGGGCCAGGATATAAGGCCCTGGTAGGGGAGCGCAGGGGGCACTAAATGAGCCAGCTGGAGAAGGGGCAGGAATGGCTTCCTGGCAGTCTGTTTAACTCAAAGTGAGACCAGAGTGGGAAGAGGAAGGGAAAAAGATGAACTGGTTATTTTGGAATATAAGTATTTAACTGAACAACTATTATGTTACAGGAATTGGGTTAGTCCCTTTGTATAAAAAATTTCACAGCAGCCCTACTGAGTTACAACCAACCTGTGCAATAGGGTTTCTCAAACTTTAATAAGATTTTGTCCTCTTAAAGGACAAAACTTGTCTGAACTTCCAAGAATATGTCCTGGAATCCCAGTTTAAAAAGCACCATTCTAATCCAGGCATAGTGGTACCCTCCTATAATCCCAGTGATTTGGGAGGCTGAGGTGGGAGGGCCAGTCTCAGCAACTTTGTGAGACCCTTTATAAAAAACAGAAAAAGACTTGAGATGTAGCTCAGTGGCAAAGTGCCTCTGGGTTCAATTTCCAGTACCAATAAATAAATAAATAGCAACATTCTAGATAATTTTGCTGGGTGATTTTTCTTAAATATTTTTTTAGTTGAACACTTACTTTTATGTGGTGCTGAGAATTGAACCAAGTGCCCTGCACATGCTAGACGTGCACTCTATCCCTGAGCCACAACCCCAGCCCTTGCTGGATGAATTTGATAAATCCTTGCCCTCAGAAAGTTAGAGCTAAGCAGGAAAAAAAAACTGGAATACAGACCAGTGACACCATTATCTCTATTTGAGTGGCAGGAAGAATTAGGGGGTCTAGCAGAGTAAAGGTGGGTAGAGGGGTGGGGAGCCTTACCTTGAGCTCTGGAATGCTGAGAATCAGCTCAAAGGATACCCGTGCCTGCAGTGATTCGTCCACACTTCGTTGCTCCTGGGGAAGGAGCTCACAAAACCGCCTGTGGGCTCTGACAAAGAGAGGGGAACTGGTCTCTCTCAAGCAATTGATCTCCCTGTGTGTACTTGCATTCCCATTCCTTGCCTTGCACCTGACCCGTTATAAATCAGGTGAGGAGCTAAGCCACAAACAGGACTTCTGCGTCACTGGGCAATGGTCAGTCAAAAGGAGATAAGTCACAAGACAGTACAGGCTGGGAGTCCATTCTTGAAATAGGTATTTACTGAGAGCCTATTGTGTGTTCTCTGGCACTGTGCTGGGCACTGATTCTAGATCACTGATGGATGGAGAGACTGGAGAAAGAGCCAAAAGGTCCTTAAGAACAGAAAGAAAAGATCAAAACCACAATCTCATTCTCTTTCACTCCAGGGACTCCTCCAGACCTCCTTGAACTATCTTTCTTCTCAGCCCCACCTCCTTCCCAATGGAATGATCTTTGCCAAGGGAAGCCCAGGAATCTTCTCATTCAAGGGTTCTAACCCACAACAAATCCACTTCCTCCCAAGGTAGTCTTAGGCAAGTTACCAAACCCCTCTGTACCTGTTTCCTTGCCCTATACCTCCCTAAGTTAGATGATACAGGCAATCACTTAGCACAGTTCCTGGCCTAGGTAAATGCTCAAGAAGTGTTAACAGTTACTATATTATTCAAGTAAAGTTGGAAGGAAACGCCAGGCTCTCCAAGGCTTCTCTGGTTTTGTTAGTGGGCAAAGTCAGCCGTGAGAGCTACAGCAACCCTTGCAGGACAGGGGCAGGATGTTCGCTAGTGCAGAAGCCAGTGGAGCGCAGGGTCAAACAGCTCCCAACTTTTCCCGGATCCTGAGAGGTGGTTCTGCGGTGCAACGATGGGGCCCCAGGCGCGACACGAGAGGGTGTACCAGGAAAGGGGTGCAGCCTTGGGCTTGGACTCCTCGCTTCCAGTAACATCTCCGCTGCTTAACTCCGGCAAGCCCTGCCCCACCCTCCAACAGGGGATCAGTTTGCCCATCTATAAGACAGTGACCCCCAAAGCCGCCTCTAGAGGATCCCAAGTCGGAAGTGGGGTTCAGGGCAGCACTCACAGGAGAATCTCCTGCTTAGTCAGGAACGTCAAGTCCTGGAAGGCAAACCAGAAGGGAGGTCAGCCGACAGTCCGGAGGCCGCAGCCGCTGGGCCGCCCACCCCGGGACACCGCTTCCGGGCGCAGGCCGGCACGCGAGCTCCCCGAGAACCCGCGTCCCGCGCACCTGGTACTCGGCCAGCAGCTCTTTGGACAGGCGACTGCCCGAACCCCCCATTGCCGCGCCGCGCGCACAGCTCCGCCAACTCTCCTTGGGACACCGACAACTTTCTCACTTCCGCCCTCGGCTGCGTCACCGACCAGTCCCCGCGGCAACAGCTGCTGAGGCCACCAACCCCGGCACCCCCTCCTCGCCACGCCCAGGCCTCCCAGAGCTGCTCCGCCCGCCAGCTGCCGGGCCCCGCGGTACTAGGCGAGCCGGAGGCGGGGCCCGGGGCGGGGCCGGACGCTCCGGGGTAGGGCCCAGGCCCCGCGGCCCCGCCCCCTGGTGGGCGGTGCGGCCGCGCGCGTAGTGCAGACTGCGCCTGCGCTAAAGGCTTCCTGACCCGCTTTCCCAGTGGTAGCGGCTGCAGGGAAAGTCTCGTGGTGTTGCAGCCCCACCTGCAATAGGTGCTGGCGGCTACAGCCCTGGGCGGGACCCGTAAGGAACATCCAGGAAATCCCTGCAGCCGGAGTATCCGGGAAACCTCGGGACTCGCCGGGTGACTGGAAGCGATCGGCTCCCCATCTGCCCTGAGAGCACTTTTCCAGTCTGTCAGCGGGCGCCTATTACAACACTCGGTACAAAGAGCCCCTTCTTCCAGAAGTAACCACAACCTTGCTGCCTGTTAAGCCTGTTTACTGAGAACCCACTGGATGTCAAGCACTGTGCACAGTTATCTTCCATTCTTGAAACAGCTGGACCAGGTAGGCTCCCATTTTACAGACACATCCCCAACCCTTTTTTATATTTTATTTACAGACAGGGTCTTGCTGAGTTGCTGAGACTGGCTTGGAACTCCCGATCCTTGTGCCTCAGCCTACTGAGCTGCTGGGATTATAGGCAAGTGCTACCACTCTTGGCTTTTGTTCCTCTTCATTTTATCTTCAGGGAAGTCTTTCCTGACTCCCTAGATTAGATAAGGACTCTACACTTAGAGAGGTTCTAATGCTTCTTCCATGACAGTGCATATATATCTTGTTTGCAATGTAGGTTTGAGTGATGATTGCGTAAGTGTCTGTTTCCCTTTGTAGAATGCAAGCCCCATAAGCACAGCTAGGACCTGATGTGTGGCAGTTGTTCAGTGTTTAATGAGTGACTCTAGTTTTCCCAGCACTTCATAATAAGGGGATCATTTGAGAGTGATTTTGTTAAGAAAGATTCACTAAATCAATGGATGAGTACCACATTTGTGGAAATGTTACACTCCATGCAGTGGAAACTACAGAGCTATGGAAACACCAAAACCAGTCAAAGTGATTGGAGTGTAGCCTCATCCCAACCTGATTATTTTTCTCTTGAGAGTAGGCCCTTTCTATCCAACATAGAGTTGATCTTCTGTATTAAAACAATAGATAAGGGCTGGGATTGTAGTTCAGTGGTAGAGCACTTGCCTAGCATGTGTGAGGCAGTGGGTTTGATTCACAGCACCTCATATAAATAAGTAAAATAAAGGTCCATTGACAAATAAAAAATTGCCGGGTTTCTGTTCTCGTGACTAAAAGGCTCAGGGGTCACTCTAGTTAAACTGGGCTAACTGGGCTGCACGAAATAACCACACAAGAGACACAAATACCTTTATCTTTGGGGTTGCTGTGGCGGCTCCTCTGACCTTAAGGGTCCCCAGAAGGAGAGAGAGAGAGAGAGAGAGAGAGCACACACACACACACACACTGAGGCAAGGGGTCAGGTTTCAGGGGGCTGAGTCTATCTTCATGATGTCCACTGTCAGCAGGTTGACTGACACCTGGGTAAGCCACACCCAAGGGCACAGTAAGAGGAGGGGACACACACAAGGCATTTCCATGGAAGATTCTATCCTAAACAGGGCAAGGGGTTATATTACAAAGGAACAGGTGAGCATAGCTTCACCCATGGGTCTGTAGCAAGACACACCCATTTCTGTGACACCCATTTCAGCACCCAGCTGGGGAGTGTAACTCAGTCACCCATAAGATTGGCCTCCCACAGAAAATAATTTAAAAAACTAAACAGAAACAATAGACAAGCAAAAATCTGTCACTGTGGCTCCTATGTAAGACAGACCAGGAAAAGCTAACCAGCCAGGGGTATCTTGACTGCATGGTGATCAGAGATTTACATGAAGATGTGGCAATTGACCTTGTGACATGATGACCAGCTGTCATCTAGATCTCCCAGCTGCCTCATTTGGTTCTGAATCTTCCTTCCTGAATAACCTTCTGATGGTCACTTTGCTTCCTGGCAGATATTGTGCCATTTGGCACATTTGTCATAGTATTAAGTAGTTATTCTGAATCATGTGGTATCTGGTTAGCATATTGTCCTTTTTTGTTTTTGTTTGCCTAATCATTGATAAAATTGAGTTCCTAATGCCCACTGTGTGTGTGTGTGTGTGTGTGTGTGTGTGTGTGTTGTGCTGGGGATCAAATCCAAGGGCACTCAACCCATAAACTATATCCCCAGCCTGTTTTATTTTTTTATTTTGAGGTAGGGTCTCACTAAGTTGCCAAGAATGACTTTGAACTTGCAATCCTGCCTCAGCCTCCCAAGTCATGGAGATTATAGGAATGAGCCATTGCTCCTGGCTCTGATATACATTAAAAGGAGTTTATCAAGAACTGGAGGATAGCTCAGTTGTAGAGCACTTGCCAAACATTCATGAGTCCCTGGGGTTCATCCTTAGCACCACCATTAAAACAAAACAAAATAAAAACCATCTTCTCATTCTGATTATAATTTTATTTCTTGGTTTGATTCTCAAAGGTTAAATTTGTGTGTGTGTGTGATTGGAGATTAAACCCAGGGCCTTGCACATGATGCCAGGCAAGTTGTCTCCCGCTAAGCTCCGTTCGTACCCCTTTTTAATTTTATTTGAGACAGTGTTTGCCCAGACTTGCCATCCTCCTGCCTCATCCTCCCAAGTAATTGGGATTACAGGCATATTGGTTATGATTTTGTCAAGAGTATCAACTCTTGGATTTATGGATTTGTTCTACTTTTTTCAGTTTTTTTTTTTAATATTTATTTTTTAGTTATAGGTGGACACAGTGCCTTTATTTTATTTTTATATGGTGCTGAGGATTGAACCCAGTGTCTCATGCATGCTAGGCAAGCACTTCACCTCTGAGCCACAACCCCAGCCCCCTTTTTTCATGTTTAACAAGACTTTTTTTTTTTCTTTTTTGGTGCTGGGAATCGAATCCAGAGCCTTGTGCATGCAAGACAAGCAATCTACCAACTGAGCTATAGCCCCAGCCCAACAAGACATTTTTTTTCCTACTTGTAAGATTATTCCTTTCTTCTTGTTTTCTTTGGGACCTTCAATAGGATGGCCATACAGATTTCACCAACACAGTGATTTATGATCCGAGACCCAAAGGAGCCAGCCATGTGAAGAAACTTTGGGAAAAGGATGTGTTATTTTGCATTAAAGGAACAGAAAGTACTGACACCCTGAGCAAGAACAAACTTAGGAAGAGTAAGGAGTAGAGTGGCAGTGGGGAGAGTGGTCGAGATGAATTGAAAAGCATACAGAATAGGTATCCCCAGAATATCAGGAGTGAACATTATGTAGGTCTTTATCCTGAATGAATGAATGAATGAATACTGTCTTTGATATAGCTCGGGTAAATAGGAAATAATTGAATTTCTTAAATTCATTTTGAGACACTTTTTTTTTTTAAAGTTTTTAATTGTGCTAACAGATGCATAACATAAATTTTATGTTATCTTAATCTCTCTACAAAAAGTTTTTTTTTTTTTAATACTGAGGATTGAACTTAGGGGTGCTCCACCAATTCCAGCTCTTTTTTATTGAAACTGGGTCTCATTAAGTTGCTGATTTTCCTGCCTCAAGTCTCCCAACTTGCTGGGATTAAGGACATGCATCACTATGCCCTGCTAAAATTTTTTAATTGCTTGGGATGTAGTTTAATGGTAGAACACTTGGCTAGCAAATGCCAGGCCCTGGGTTCAATCTGTAGCACCATACACACAAAAAATATATATAAAACACAAACAATATATTATATTGCCAGGCTTGATGGAACACACCTACAACCCCAATGACTTGAGAGGCTGAGGCAGGACGACCAAAAGTTTGAGGTTGACCTTGGCAACTTGGCAAGACCCTGTCTCAACATAAAATTGAGGACTGGGGATATAGCTTAGTTGGTAGAGTGCTTGTCTCACATACACAAGGCTATGGGTTCAATGCCCAGCACCACAAAAATAAAAAAATAAAATTTGAAAAGAGGCGAGGATACAGCTCAGTGGTAAAGTGCCCCTGATTTTAACCCCCAGTATCAAAATAAATAAAATAAAATAAATTGTTTGGGGAACTGCTATACTTTTTCCTCCAATGGCTGTATTACTTCACTCTCCACCAACAGTGTACAAGGGAGGGTTCCAGTTTCTCCACATCTTTGTCAACATCATAGAATAAGTCTTTTATCTTTTTTTCTCCCATTCCTCTACTCTGTGTATACATATACAGAGAATACATGTGTGTGTATGTATATATAAATATGTATGGATGTTTGTATATAAAACTGTCAACAAAAAATAGTCTATACATTTTTGATTTAGTAAAAACATGCTCATCTGCAAGTGATGGAAATATGAGCAATTTCTATGTTTTCTAGGTATTTTACCAAAGGCATGGATTATATATTGTTTTTAACTATAATCTAAACAAAAAGTCAAGATTATTTGAAAATAAAAATCTCTGAAAATGGACTACTCTCATGTATTTTTCATCTCTTAGGATTGTTTCAGGTAGTTCCATGGCTCTTTTGCATTATTCAAAGGAAACTTCATATTTGCTACCTCCAAACAATGAGGACTGGGAAGAGAAAGGCATCCCTGACTTTGTCTATGGGCAGAAGGAACTTATAGTGGAAGGCATTCAGTGGCCAAGGAATGCACCCAGCACCCTGGACACACCATCGAGATTTGACTCTGCCCTCTGTTCTGCCTGGAGGCAGAGGGTGGAGCTAGGGCTCTTTCGCTACCGCCTAGGAGAGTTGCAAACTCAAACCCTCCCTGGTGCTGTGGGTTTTGTGGCTCAGCTAAATGTGGAACGAGGTGTACAGAGGAGACGTCCTCAGAACATCAAGAGTGTAAGGCAGGCATTTGACCCTGAACAGTTTAACTTCAACAAGATCC